GGGATCTTGATGGAATCGGGTAGTTTTTCTGAGGTAATGTACGATCACCTCTTCTGCAAGATAGGACTCTCTCAGGGGGATCTGGAACCCGTAAAACCCCCCCTCATTGGCTTCAATAGTTCCAGCGTGCTGCCCCTTGGAAAAATCACCCTCATGGTACGAGCAGGGGTGGCGACCACGCCAATAGAATTTATGGTAGTGGACTCCGACTCCCCTTACAACCCTATTATGAGGAGATCGTGGTTGCATGTAATAAAGGCGGTCTACTCATCCTATCACCAGAAAATAAAGTTCCCAACACTGTAGGGCATAATGGAAATCCGGGGTGATCAGGCGTCGGTGAAAAGCTGTTTCTATGCCGCGATGAAAATGGGAGTCAGCGGTCGGAGTCAGGAGCGTGATCTCGATGCGGTGGTTGCCAAATAGCAATCACAGAACGGTCGTCCGGGAGTGGACGAGCCCATTACAGAGCCGGCTGACCGGTCTACTGAGGCCTTGGTGAAGATTCTGTTAAGCCCAGATAGCAGTGAGAAGTACTTTTTGATAGGAGAGTCACTCAGCGAAGCAGAGAGAAATGATATGACCTCATTTTTACGCCACAATGCCGATGTCTTTGCGTAGACCCAGGCCGAGATGACGGGGATAAGTGCCGAGGTGATGACTCATTGGCTCCATGTGAATCCCTCATTCAAACCTGTTAGGCAAAAGGCCCAGAGAATGACGCCTCATCACGCGAAGGCTGTGAATGAAGAGGTGGATAAGTTGTTGGGGGCAGGTTCCATCAAGGAGGTACAGTTCCCCCAGTGGCTATCCAATATCGTGTGCGCTAAGAAGAAAGAAGGAAAATGACGAGTTTGTNAGAATGACGCCTCATCACGCGAAGGCTGTGAATGAAGAGGTGGATAAGTTGTTGGGGCCAGGTTCCATCAAGGAGGTACAGTTCCCCCAGTGGCTATCCAATATCGTGTGCGCTAAGAAGAAAGAAAGAAAATGACGAGTTTGTGTGGATTTCACGGACCTGAACAAGACTTGCCCCAAGGACGAGTACCCCTTATCCAAGGTTGATCAGCTGGTAGACGCCATAGCTGGCCACAAGCGCATCACCTTTATGGATGCTCGGGCTGGATATCACCAGATTCCCCTGCATGAATCAGATCAGGAGAAAACGACGTTCATCATGCCCCAGGAAATCTACTGTTACACGGTGATGCCTTTTGGGTTGAAAAATGCTGGGGCGACTTACCAACGTTTGATGAACAAAATTTTTAAAGACCAACTCTGCGAAACGATGGAGGTGTACATTGATGTCATGTTGGTCAAAAGCAAAGAGGAGGCCGACCATTTCTATGATCTCGGGACGACATTCGCCATCCTCCAGAAATATGGCCTAAAACTAAACCCCTCGAAATGCGTCTTTGGAGTGAGCTCAGGAAAGTTTTTGGGGTATTTGGTTACTCATCGGGGAATCAAGGTGAACCTCGAGCAAATACAAGCAATCCAGAATGTCCAGGTGCTTAGGACCATTAAGGATGTTCAGAAATTGGCCGGGATGTTGACAACCCTTAACAGATTTATTTCCAAGTCGTCTGATAAGTGCAAACCGTTTTTTGCCAAGTTAAGGGGGGCAGCTAAGAGGGTTTGGGACGAGGAATGCGGTCGAGCTCTTGAAGGGATTAAGTAGTACTTGAAACATTCTCCGACTTTATCTGTTCCAGCGGCAGGGGAGGTGCTTAGCCTTTACTTGTCCGTATCTCGAGACGCTGTGAGTGGAACATTGATCATGGATAGCGAAGGGGCCCAAAGACCCGTGTATTTCATAAGCAAGACCTTGTTTGACGCCGAGACAATGTACTCTCTAATAAAGAAATCAGTCTTGACATTGGTAATCTCGGCGAGGAAACTTCGACACTATTTCTAGGCTCACGCTATAGACGTCTTTACAGACCGACCTCTCAAGCCGATCCTTCATCGAGCCGATATGTCCGGGAGAGTTGCCAAATGGGCTGTAGAGCTCGAAGAGTTTGAAATATAAACTTGGATTAATCACACCACAAAATAAAGAGAGGAACAAAAACTGGTTTTTGCTTTACTCCATTAAACACTTATGACAAGTAATTTCGAAAGCTCTTGGCCAAAGTAAGTACATATTACTTTCAACGTGCAAGCCCATCAAAGACCGTCTTTATTCTTTATGAAAATTTAATTGTGGGTACACCTTGAAGAATGTATTTGATTTTAAGCACATAACTTAGACTTTTAAGCTTTTTAAGTCTTTTTATGTCTAAAATTTCGATCAACAACAAGTACACATTACAGTTTTTTTTTTTGTGTATTACCTAATTACCTCGAACTTATTTCATGCATAAATATTTTTGTTTTTTTCAAGTATGTAATCTTATACAAGAGATTTTCAAACTTTTGTAATTTCAGAAATCGTTTGAATTTTAAAAATTAATTCTCGAAAATTCTGTCATTAACAGGCCAACTTCATATTATTCAGCCACTAACATTTTGCGAAAAAGCAACCAGAATTGTGTGTTATTCGGCCATTGTTTTTTTTCGAACCAGTAATTGGGATTTTTCAAAAATTGTTATTAAAAACCGAACTTCATATTATTTAGTCATTGATCTATCTTCGTTAATCATTTACGTTTATTCGAAGTTGTAACTGAATCAAATTGATGTTATGTTATGCATAAAGACATTTTTTCGAAACAGGTTGTAATTGGAGTATATTTTCTTCAACTACCACACATTGGATCTTTTTGTTTTATATTGTGGATCATATTTACCCACATTCATGGTTCCTTCACTTTGATTAATGTTTTACAAACCCTTCTGTAGAGATGTTTCAACGTCTTGTGCTGTCACTGGTTCCCTATGCTTGAGTTCATATTTATTTTTAGAAGACAACCTTGTTTTTGCCATGTCTTAGGAAAAGTTATACAACTTATGCAATAATATGATAACAACTAAGTGAATCTATACATAACACAAAAAAAAAAAAAAAAACTAGTATAATAGAGTGACAAAGGGTGGTATAATGTTTGTTTGTAATTGTAGTGACAAAGGCATGAAATCAGTTTGTCACTATGTTGTCTCTCTATGACACAATCCAATATTTGTTGTACTATATAGTGGCCAAGCCAAGAAATCAGTTGTCACTCTATAGTGTCTCTACATGAACACAAAGCAGTTTCTGTAGTGGACAAGCAATAAAATCAATTTTTCACTTCATGGTGTCTCTCTATTGTTTATGTTTGATTGCAATGTGGTAGCCTTAAACTGTAACAACAAATAGTGAATCTACACATAACTCCCAAAAATTAAAGCTTGGTACTCAATTCTCAAGCGTAGCCTAAATAGTGTGACAACAAAGAATGAATGGACATATAACTCCTAACAATGAAGATTGGTGCTCAAACCACAAAGCTAACCTAATTGTATGACAACACAAAGTGAATCCACACTTAACATATAAACTATGAAAATTAGTACTCAATTCAATTAGTAATTGTGATAATGTGAAGAAAAGAGTGCATCCACACATAAATACAAAAAATTGAAAATTGACACTCAATTCACAAAACTAGGATAAAAGAGTGACAACAAAGCATGAATACACAATTAACACACTCAAACTATGAAAAACAGTACTTAATTTTTCAACAAACTAGTGTAATAGTGTGACAACAAATAGTGAATCTTCAAATAATCTAAAACTTTGAAAATTGGTACTCAGTTTACAAAGTTAAGATAAAAATATGACAACAAAGAGCGNTAAATACAAAAAATTGAAAATTGGCACTCAATTCACAAAACTAGGGTAAAAGAGTGACAACAAAGCATGAATACCCAATTAACGCACACAAACTATGAAAAGTAGTACTTAATTTTTCAAGAAACTAGTGTAATAGTGTGACAACAACTAGTGAATCTTCAAATAATATAAAACTTTGAAAATTGGTACTCAGTTCACAAAGTTAAGATAAAAGTATGACAACAAAGAGCGAATTCACGCATAAACACCAAAAATAAGAAAAAATATACTCATTTCATATAGTCACCAAAATAGTGTGATAATAAAGAGTGAATTCACTCATAAATATAAAATGTTCAAATTGCTACTCATTACATACAGTTTATAAATAGTATGTCAACCAAATATGAATCCAAACATTACCCCAAATTTTGAAAATTTATCCAAACCGAATTTTTAAATTTGCTATAGAGTGACTTCATAGTGTGACACTATACAGAAATTTAATGTAAATGATAAAAATTGCTAGAATAAAATTAATTTCAATTTTAACATACATTTGATTTATCAGAAAAGATTATTACATAATTTACAATACAAATAGGGTTTATGCAATATAATTTTTTTGGGGGGGAGAAAGAGAGAAGACTTGAACCATTGACTTAAAAAAAAAAAATCATTCACAACATAAGAAATATCATTGAACCAAAAGCTCATTAGTATATATTATAAGTTTTGAGGGTTTTAAGTAAAATAAATAAATAACAAACAAAATCCTTACCGTCAATTGTCGATGCTAATAGAGTGAAGTCGACTTTCTTTGCTGCTTAAAGAAAGAAACAACGTTCGCTAATCTTGAATAAAAATACTAAATTGTTGTATCAGAGCAATTCTTTTTGTTTCACACAAAATGTTGAAATTGTCCTCAAGATAGGACTCCGTAATTTTTGTAACAATGTAATCTATTTTTTTTAATTAAAAAAAAGGAGTCAACAACTCCATTGTAAAACAGAAGCAAGATCAATAATCTCACTTTTAAAAAACATCATAGTCTAATTTCAAAAATGTTGTGTATAGATAAATAAGTTTAAAAACAATTCTATTGCGGTAAATAACTCTAACAAGAAGACCACTAACGTAAGCTAAATGACATAAAATACTTACTCTTCAAACATCAGTCAAAGTGAAGACCAAAAATCTAGAACCTCACGTAGGACCCACCCCAAGAACATTTCACTTCTCATCGATCCATAGGATTCATGATCTCTGAGAACAGAGTCTTATTTTTTAATTTGTCATTGTTGGCCATTGATCTTAACACGTTTTCATCGTCGTTCGTCGTTGATTCTCCATGCAGAGGAGGAGTAGAGGGACTAGTCAACGCTGCTGGCAGTAACCCACCACCACCGCCACCCTGACCCATCATCTCAGCCTCCCCTTGAAGTTGCAAAGCAAACTCAAGGCCCCACAAAACATTATTTATTCCTGGTCGTTTGAACCCATTTTCACGCAAGCAACTATCACCTAATTCTCCAAACTTCTTCAAGCACTCTGGCGCAATCTCCTCCTTTATATTAGGATCAACAATCTGATCAAGGGTCCCATTTTTATAACAATGTCGGGCCCACTCAACCAAATTCACTTGCTCTTCGGGTAAATCTAGAATTATAGCCGGCCTAGTACATGAAACTTCAAATAAAACCATCCCAAATGAGTACATGTCTGATTTCTTTGTCAATTGTTGTCGGTTATAATATTCTAGATCTAAATATCCAAAACTACCCTTCACCATTGGGGTGACATGGTTATGGCCTGCATCTATGTGACCCAATTTGGATAATTCAAAATCAAAAATCTTAGTCACCNCCCACTCAACCAAATTCACTTGCTCTTCGGGTAAATCTAGAATTATAGCCGGCCTAGCACATGAAACTTCAAATAAAACCATCCCAAATGAGTACATGTCTGATTTCTCTGTCAATTGTTGTCGGTTATAATATTCTAAATCTAAATATCCAAAACTACCCTTCACCATTGTGGTGACGTGGTTATGGCCTGCATCTCTGTGACCCAATTTGGATAATTCAAAATCAAAAATCTTAGTCACCCATTTCTCGTCCAATAAAATATTGGTGGACTTCACATCACGGTGAATGATCGTGTGATTCGCACATGTATGGAGATAATGCAATCCCTTTGCTGCACTAATACAAATCTGAAGGCGTTGCTTCCACGGAAGACGTGGTTTCTTTGATTTGTAAAAATGATCACGAAAGATTCCGTGGGCCATATAATTANTCGCACATGTATGGAGATAATGCAATCCCTTTGCTGCACTAATACAAATCTGAAGGCATTGCTTCCACGGAAGACGTGGTTTCTTTGATTTGTAAAAATGATCACGAAAGATTCCGTGGGCCATATAATTATGCACTAAGATCATCTCACAGTTGTCATTGTAGTAACCGATCAACAACACGACATGGAGTTGTCGTAGCTTCGATAGCATCTCGATCTCTATTTGGAACTCGTGGACCCCCTGATTGGATGATGGGTTCAATCGCTTGATCGCAACGGTGGTTGCACCGTTGTCGATGTGGCCCTTGTACACATTACCAAATCCTCCTGCCCCCGATGACAAAACTATCATCGAAGTTGCATGTAGCTGATTTCATCTCCTCAAGTGAAAAGTGTTTGCATAGATTGGACAACAGTGATAAAACGCTGGATAAGGGGACCCATGATGACTTGGGCTTTTTTGAAGCCAAGTCTTTCACTCTTCTCTGTTGCCGAAAAATCAAGAAACTAAGATCAAGACTAGAACAGACCTTCCTCCTAATACGCTGCCAATAATAGCCGAAAAACTAGATGTTTTATTATTGTGCTTTTTCACACCAGCTGTTTCACTCAATTTGAAGATTTCTAAACCATTCAATATAGCATCACCGTAATCAGGTCTATTGTCGAGCTCAGGGTACATAGCGAGCCACAAGTCTTGCTTGCTCCGGCTACCATCTGGGTCGGTGACCATAATGACGTAGTCTTTAAACACCGGGATTCCAGTGCCACCACTCCAGTAGATAACATCTGCTCCTCTCTCTGCCGTTTGATTGTTGATGTAAATTATAAAAACCCCTTGGTTCTCAAGGGTCACCTCCAATTGAATCTCGCAGAAATGGAGCCTGAGAAGATAATAAAACCCAGAATCAACAGGAAATCTCCATGTCAGATTGTATCTTAAACTGTCATTGCCCATGTTCTTGGTGGTTGTGTAAACGATCTTCGGTGCAGTGTAAGGTGGTGTCTCCTGTCTATATCGGATTGCGACGTTTCTGTAAGTTGTAAACCCATAATATTCGTAGGTGTAATCGTCGTCCGGACGCCATAATCAAAACATTCCGGTATCATTGGTTATTGAGACCTCATTACCGCCAACATTTAATCGATAGAGAGTCTCAAGATCAGAGTTGTTATCAATGTAAAATCTTTGGTTCTCGCTCACTAGTGGGATAGGATGATCATTGCCGCGAATGTGGAGATTTTTCGGCATTGAAACGACTTCAATGCCATTAACGAAGGCGTAAGAGTTCGGAGAAGGCCAAAAGGTTATATTCAGTATCTGGTTGTCCCTAACGTTAACGATGAACTCCTTTATAAGGGAAGCAACTGCGGGTTTCATGGCGGAGACAGTGAGGAAGGCACTGAAGTTGTTTAAGAGGGTGTAGTCGCTGGAAGTGAGGGAGAAGAAAGAGTTGGTAATATCGAGGTCAGAGTAATTAACTGGGTAGAAATAGAGACGAATGAATTTTGGTCCTGCAGAGACTGGGAAGGAGTAGGTGAATTGAGAGTGGAAGATACGAGCAGTCTTGTAGGGCACTTGAATGACAGACTCGGAGGATGTAGCATTCGACGACGTGTTTTCATTGTTCGACGGTAAGAATTGTGATCGGACATCGCCGTCCCAGTTCCGAATGCTAACGTCGGTGGTGTTAGAAGCTGAACCACAGTCGAGGAGAATGTGGTCGGTGGGAGTGTAAGGTAGCCAGGCGCCGCTGTCATCTACGGCGGCGGCGATGATGGTGGTGGAGAGGAGGAGGCAGAGAAAGGAGAAGAGTTGGAGAGTTGAGATGAGCATGGGATTGAGCTTCGGAAGAGAAGGGGTTTGATGGTGGTGACTGATCATGATCATGATCATGAAGCTAACAAAGGTAATGGTAATGAACTGTTCCACTATTTGAAGTAGAGCTTGAAATATATTCAGAGCAGAAAATATTCATGGAGGACTACTTTGACTTCTAAGTCTTTGGATTGGTTAATGGGTGGCTAATACTATTTTTGATGAATATGAACTCGATAACCTTGACTTATACATGATATATACATAAGAGTAAGAGTAATGTTATTGGGATCTAAAAATTTGATATAATTTTTTGATATAATGATGTGGTTTCATTGAAATTATTGAATCAACATCAAGTTCCAATGTTTAATGGGGTCTATAATCAATCCAAAAGTCAAAATGAATTAGGTCAACCAGATTTTTAAGTCCAAATAACACCACTCTATACATAATTACGAATAAATTTTATATGAATTAAAAATAAGAGTAATGCTAGATGGACTTAAGAAGCAGACTTAAAAATTAGATCTGATAATCTCAACCAATGAATGGGTAGTGAGTCTTAATAAATGTTGCGACCCATATTGAAATCAAGGGTTGAGATTATCAACTCNTTAGATCTGATAATCTCAACCAATGAATGGGTAGTGAGTCTTAATAAATGTTGCGACTCATATTGAAATCAAGAGTTGAGATTATCAACTTTAATTTTTAAGTTTACTTTTTTAAGTTCATGTAGCATTGCTCTAGAAATAATAATGTTAAAAGTATTTGTTTTAAAATATATTTTTTATTAACAAATTTGTCCACAACTCATTTAACAATTAATTTGTTTAGCTCAACTCAAAACTTAATATTTCAACATTTAATTTTTAATAAACTTAGATTTCAAAAAAATAAATCAATAAACAACTTATAAGGATTATAAATATTCAAATTGACAAATTTTAATAGAAAAAATTGAATCTATGACAAGCTTATTTGTGCTAAGAATCTATTACAACTTGTGGGTGGTAGGTTTGGTTGTAAGAAAAGGCTTCTAGTGCATGACAAAATTAATAAATAGATTGGATTAGTGTTATGACACTTAACATACTTAATTACGTGAGTTATTTATGGATTAATTAATACTTAACACGAATTCGAAGTTCCACCACATGACTCAAATGTCATGTTAGTTGCAAAAGGAAGAGAAAAAATTAGAGATTAAATAAAGAGTTGTATGAGAAGTTCAACAATTTTTTTACAAACTTTCTATCGGGGCAAATTCTAAATAATGTTAAATTTCTCAAATTTTCAAATAGACTCCAAAAAGTTTTAATATCGTAGTGGGGATAATTGTCCCATGCTAGATTCGCCCCTGCAAGATTCATTTATATTATGTGATTCCCCTTTAAATTTATGAAGAGTGAACTACTATTAATAGAAATTGAAAAAAACTACGAGAATCCAAATCCTACTTAAATGAGTGAATTCTGGCAATTTTGAACAATTGCAATTTTTAACGAAAAAGAATAAAAAATATCATTAGACCCAAATAGTATTAGAGGTGAGCATGGTTTGATGTTTGATAGAGAAGGTGTTTGATGGTGGTGAGTGGTAAGAGCTTATGGGGAAGACTGCGTGGACTTAAAAATTTTTTGATTGATTCATTTATATATTTTGAATGCCACTTAAATTCATAATTAATGGTTTATGATTCAAAAAATTTATGAAAAATATATGAGAGTTAAAGTGAGCGGATATTGGATAATTTCGGGCTATTAAATTATATAAGGAGAAAGAATAAAAATGTGGCTAGGCTACTATGGTTGTTAACCCAATATTTGTTTGAGGTAGGTTTTTCTTTAGCTAGGCTTGTTAAATGATTTGAGAAGTTCAAGTCCGCCTCACTTTTAACTTATTAATATCATTAAATAAATTGAATTTTAATCAAATTTTTGAACTCTTTTAAAAAAAACAAATCAAATTTGAGTAACGTATATCTCAAAAAAAATTCAACTCAACTCAAATAGGTTTCTTATCTATAAATAATTTAGCACAAGAGAATTTCAGCAATGAATAGAGATAACGATCCTCTCGATAATGAACCTAAACAACCAAGAGGTCAGAAAAGGGGCCGGGTGATCACCCGACTTATCTCCTCCGAAGATTAAACCAGTATACATTTGGAGGGTTGAGCATAGTATATCTTTTTCTCCATTTAGTTTGCGTATCTTTGTTCATCTTTCTGAAAGGTATTTATATCTGTACTAGTAATGAGTGAAAGAGTCTTGAGTCCCTTCACGACATTTAATGACTTACAGTCTTCTCCACGCGTAATGAATGTTCTCCACTCAGATCCTCGTGAGCGTTCAATGCTTGGGTGATAAGACAAGTGCTTGGAGGCATGCTGAGCACTTATTACTACCTCCTGGTTATGTAAGTTCCTTTGATCGGTGTTTGACACCTATTCCCGAGTTTTTAATGCTCGGGATATAGTACCTCGGGGTTTGCGAGTACACCTGATCGGTGCTATGACCATTAATGCTCTGCAATCATGACCGTCAGTTTGAGGTCTTGAGGATACAGAGACTCATTAATAGCTCTATCATAGTCACTCAAATCCTCTNTCGGTGTTTGACACCTATTCCCGAGTTTTTAATGCTCGGGATATAGTACCTCGGGGTTTGCGAGTACACCTGATCGGTGCTATGACCATTAATGCTCTGCAATCATGACCGTCAGTTTGAGGTCTTGAGGATGCAGAGACTCATTAATAGCCCTATCATAGTCACTCAAATCCTCTTTAATGAGTTGGCATATCTCCTTAAATGTTGATCCCAACCTACTCACTCAGCTCTTCTAAGTAATAACTCATCGGCGTCTTTTGAGTTCCATAATGACTATATCAATCCACGTGTCAGTTTAGGGGTTGCTGAACTGCCTAAAATTCCGTCATAATTCTTATTTTACTACCAAGCAAACTCTATTGGAAATGTGAACAACCCCAAAACTATCCACAAATAACTCCAGGTTATATGCATTCTCTTTTCTAATAGATTTTTTGAAGAATTAAACTTTATGGTTGATTAAATATATTTTGAAAGATGTTTAAAATAACGTGAGGATTAATTACTATGTTCTATGGTTAGTTCTTATAATTTTTTTTCCTGAAAAGTTGAGCTTGATTTTGACTCTAATATATACTTGAAAACTCATACTGGGTTGAACTTGAGCTTGAGTTCTACTACTTCTAACCGAGTTGTGAATTCTATAATACTTGAGGGAGAAAAACTGAATCAGCTCTTGATGAGGTGTGTTAGACGTGTAATGCAAAGTGAGTAAGAATGTATAAAGAAATTAAGTGGTTTGCCAATCTAAAGAGTTGATTTAATCCACTGTAATAAAAATTTTTGCTCCTCGGCAATGTATTGCATAAGGAAGAAGAAGGTTATAGACTAGGATTTCTTGCTTATGGCCCAAGGCAATGTACATGCGTGCCTTTTCTAAAAAATAATGGTGCAATCCTAACAAACTTATCAAATAATATTTAAAGGAATATTTGATTGTTAGAGGCTATTCTCTTAGATGCGACGTGACTTTTTACAAACGATACGTGGTTTTCAAAAGGTGATAACTATTGTCCAAGGTAAGTTTTATGGGTGGAGTCTTTTTTTTACCGTTTCCTCGTGATTCCCAAGCTATTACTTGTCATCGAACAATTATGACAAACCTCGCCTGTTCAAGTTCAGGTTGGCGCATTGACAGTTATCCAAAGTATTTATATAATTCGAATTAAACATTAACAGTAAAATTTAAATCTATTAAGTATACTATTATATGTCAACTATTTAATCAAAATAAAATGTTAATAATTAGATACTAAAACAATACATTTACTGTGACGCAGAACAACACGTATAGAAATAATTCAAAAAATCAAATATAACTCGAACTCTATATAATCACAATTTTCTTGAAACAGATTTGAAAGATATGGTGTATGATGGTGGTGAGTCTGGTGACTGATGATGAAGCCGAAGGGTAATGGTGATGAAGAAGTAGAGGCTATGTATAGAAGAAAAGAACTGGTAGAAGACTGCGTGGACTTGGAAGTCTTTGGTTTTGGATTGATTATTGGGCGGCTATAGCACGTTCCCAAGTTAGCTTTCATATTTTTTTTTCCAAAGCCCTACATTTCTAATTCATCAATGATATTTTTACGGGAGTTCAAATGAGCCACTTTTAGAAAATTTCTATAATTCGAGGAATGCTATACGAACATAAAAAATTAATATAATTTATTGATATAATGATATATACATCATGAAATCTCAATAAAAAAGTTTAAAAGTTGTGATCACAATAACATTAAATCACTTCATTGTTACATCATTAGATCAACAAATTAATTTAATTTTCTAAATAACAGTAGTATTACTAATTGAGTTGTCACATCATTAATTTTAACAAATTAGGTTAATTTCTTAAATGACAATAGTATTACTAATTGAGTTCAACTCAAAAGTTAATTTAAGAGTAATGTTAAATGAGATTAAAAAATTTGACTTAATTTATTACCCTAATAATGTGATTTCATTGTAATCGTTATATTAACACAAAATTCTAATGTTTAATGTGATTCACAATTAACACAATGATTATAGTGAATTAGATCAATAAAATAAGTCAATAAATTATGTCTCACTAACATTCTTGAAATTTTATCCCATTGGTTGTTCTCTCTTAGGTTAATAAATCCAAGGAATTTGATTACTATAGTGAAAAAAAATATTTACAAATGTGATAAAAACACTTATAGATACAGTAAAAACACTCACAAATGTGGTAAATTTTTTTGTATCAAATAAAAGTGGTAAAAATAGTTATTATAAATGTAATAAAACACCCACAAAAGTGATAAATCACATACAAAAATGATAAATTTTTTAGTTAGAAAATAACCCCATAAAAGTTATAAAAACACTCATTAAAGAGGTAAAATAACTCATAAAAGTTATAAAAACACATATTACAGTGGTAAAAGTTAGACGTAAAATACCATAATAATTTTTTTTCGGTACCGTAATTAA